GGGAGAACGTATCGATCTGTACGACTGCCTGAAGGGAAGTTGTAGAGAGGCAGAGGTTGGTCTGTTCTCCCTAGTGGAGAGTGATAGGACGAGGGAAAATGGATTTAAATTGTGTCAGGGGAGGTTCAGGTTAGATATGAGGAAGAATTTCTATACTGAAAGGGTTGTCAGCCATTGGAACAGGCTGCCCAGGGAGGTGGTTGAGTCACTGTCGCTGGAGGTGTTTAAGAGACGGGTGGATGTTGCGTTGGGAGGAATCGTTTAGTAGATTGATAGGGCTGGGACAAAGGCTGGACTCAATGTTCATCTAGGTCTCTTCCAGCTGAAACTATTCTATGATTCTGTGATCTGTAATGTTACCAGGGCGGGGGGATCGGGGAAGGGGTTGTGAACTGTTTTTATCTCCGAGAGCAGTAATCCGAGGAAGATGGGGCACACTCCCACATTTTATCAGAAGATTGAGATACCATGAGAAAGTTCTTACCATGGATGTTTTTAAATTTAATTTTCTGATCTGCCTTGACTACTGTTGCTCGCTGATGCTTTTTCTGTTTTCATGAGGAGTGCACACACAATTATATAAAAGCATCCAGAATTAGGAGTCGTAGGAATCTTAAAAGGCTCAATGGCTCCCATGAATCTTAAGGCACTCAGAAATGCACTGTGAATAAAGCTGAAGCGCTGTGAGCGCGAAGGGGTAGTTTTATCACAGTAATAAACTTGGTACTATAAAACAAAGCTGGCTGGAGTATTCAGCTGACTTCTTCCAGATTGGTGTGTAGACACCATGTAAAGGCAGGCAAAGTTTTTTTGGTGCTGCTATAAATGCAATAAAATTTGTAGTCTGTAAGAACCACACTATCCTTATCAATCTTTGCAGTCTTAGAATCTGAGTAAAAACTTCCGTACAACATCATGAGACAACATTAGCTTCTGCGTTATTAGTTATTTCTTTAACGCTTAAGCTATCCATTCTGAGATTTATTATTTGGAAAGCCAGTACATGTGTGAAGATAACAAAAAGATCTTACAAAAATAGAGAGCAATGCACATAATGCACTAAAAGTATGAATGCAAATAAGGGAATAAGTGCATATTTTACACTACTTCCATATATATTTATAGCCCTATCAAACACCACTAAATTGGATTGCACATCATACGCTGCTAACTATTCCTAATATAAATTCATTTCTAAAATGACTTAAGTAATTTTCATCTTGGCAATATTCTCAGCTTCATTTTTGTGAATAGCATTTTTCTGTATACAAGGTAGAAATAAATTGATAAATAGCCCAAATGTCTATGTGTAAATAACAGAAACCAAATAATAGAAAAAATGAGGAAACAGAAATCATGATGAAATGGAAAGAAAATGAATATGGAGAAAATAATAATAATATTGGATAGAGCTGTTTATTATATGTCTCATAAGCCTTACTAACACCTGGAGAACTTTTGCTTGTTGTGAGAGAATAGCTGGATGGAGAAAACTGTTCAATATAGTTATTGTGTTTAATCCTTTATTTTTTTGACTTTGGTCTCTGAATACTATGACAATGGTTTTCCTGCATATTTGGAAATGAAATGAGAGAAGGTAGGATTTTATTCTATGCATTTTAATTTGTATTTTATTTTCACTTGAAATTCCGTGCTCATTACTTATACCAGACCACACTTAGGATTTTTTTTTTAAAGAAGTAATTGTGTCTTTTTTTCCTTAAAGCAATTGTGAACAGATCAGTTCCAGATGTCTGTGCGACCTGCCACATTCATGCTACATGTCATCAGACTGAAGGAAAAAGCGTATGCATCTGTAACTATGGATTTGTAGGCAATGGAATAACCCATTGTCAGGGTAGGCTATCTGTTTGTAAAATGGCAAGAAACTGTGTGCATTCCTAGAATGTTCTTTCTCCAGTATTACTGCCAAGTTCTTCAAAACATGGTAAAAGCTTTGTCCCTGGCAGAACTTCCAAAATGTAGAATATGCATGGATTTTTTTTTTCCCCCCAATGACTAGCCATGAGCTATAGTTTAGTTTTACTTAAGGTAAATATAATTTTTTATTTAGTTGCTCATCTGTTTTGTTCAGTTTCTGCTATATAGTCAATGATTTTAATGAGTTTTGTCTTAGAAAGTGTAGGGGTTTGTCACACCTTTTATTGTAAAGCATTTATTGCAATGATTTATTGAATATTTTTTGTTATAGCTTCAGCAAAAAAAAAAACTACGATGGGCTTAACTATTCCTCTTTTCAACCTATTCATTATTGAACTGAAAACTGGACAATAAAATTGACAATTAAAATTAGCACATTTTTTTCTGATTGTTCCAGTTGTCTCACATTACTGGGTAACTTAAAATGAATTTTGTATATACGCAGATTTCTTAAGTGCAAATGTCTGTTACGTGAAAGGTATTGTTCAGCATCGTTTTATTGCTTTAGCTGATAGTGTCTTTTTAATACTACCTTATATGTTACAAATCAATATGTGAATCAAAGAGTGATGTCAAATGCTGCGTGTGTGGGCGTATGTAGCAGCTTACCACTGCTTAAAGGGAAATGTCCTCCACCTCTGATCTCTTCCCCTTCCTTCACAAGCACTGGCACCTGCTGGAGCCTGCACAGAGTTAATTTGCCTTAGTGTTGTGGGAGAAGACAAGCTGCGTATTTTGCCATGTTTTCTGCCAGTTGGGTGGGTTGGGTAAGATCAGCACAAGCTCTCGTCAAGTGCTGCAGCCGGTGCCTTTTAGCGGAAGCGGGGAGCGAGGCCCTCTGATTTCAACAGCTCTTAGATCTACTCAAGCTGTATCAGGAAGCTTTATTCACAGTTTCACCCAGAGCCAACCACCTCTGCTGATCTAAATACTCCTTCACTTGCAGTGTTTACATCTGTAATTACTTAAAAAGGAAACCAGAAAGGGCCAGTCTGGTTACACAAGAATGAGTGATGAGGGGAGATTGTCCTACTTTTTTTATTACTCTCTCTCTCTCTCATGTGTTTTAAATGTGTTGACAGATAAAGATGAATGCCAGATTGGAGCCAGCAAGATCTGTGGAAATCATACACTCTGTCACAATACACACGGAAGTTTTTACTGTGTTTGCCTGGATGGATACCAAGCCTCCAACAACAATAAGACATTTATTCCCAACGATGGCACGAACTGTACAGGTAGACATCACAAAGGATCTTGAGGAATACCAAACTTGGTTTTTTATGGGACAAATCTTTTTTTTCCGTCACTTTAAGTCTTATTTTCTGAAACTGTCTCAGAGCGCTTTCTGCTATGGATGCAAGTGCTTATTTGACATCTAGGTTCTACCAGCAGTCAGTTAGTTGTATTTGCATTCTTTGCTATGTTACAAATCATTGCTTCACAGTCACAGTCACGAAGTAATCTTTGCAGCATAAGAAGCTAGGATAAAAAGTAAGAGCATACCCAATTTTCTTCCAGAATGTCATACTTGTGTTTAATGCAGAATATTAACCAGTTCTTTGTTACAATAATGAACTGTTGTAACCATTTAAGATATTTGCAGATTTTTCTGGGATTGTTGTGGCAGGAGAAACTATTTGTCAGAACAATTTAAAAGATTGCTAGCTACAAAATTGAGTCTCCCCCTCCAGATGCTTGAACATCAGGCAATTATAAGCTTATTTTTTATCTAGAAAAGCCATCAGAAGCTATGCATAACTCTTCATAGAACGCCTGTGTTTGTTTTAAGTTTGGGTCCTACATTAATTAATCAAAATAATTATGAAGTGAATATATTTTTCTCTGAATTTTTAGACATAGATGAATGTGAGGAGCCTGGGCTGTGTGGTCGCAATGCAGGATGCGTGAATACTGAAGGAAGCTACAAGTGTTACTGCAATGATGGTTATAAATTAGAAAATGGAGAGCGTTTTTTTCATCCAGATGAGAACATGGTTTCATGTAAAGGTGAGAGTCTCTGGATGTCTTTTGGTTCTTTTCTTCTTGGGTTCGTTTTGTTCCAGTGGTGCCTGCGTGGTAGACTCTGTGTATGATTTTGACAGGCTCTCAGCAGTAGTTCAGGTGTGCAGGGTCAGAGAAGCTTAATAATGCCATGAAGATGATGTAGTTAGTTCCTGAATAGGAAGGAAGTGTGGTATAATGTGCTTGCTTATATAATTCCTCTGCATAAGAGAGCTGGTAAGAGAGGTCAGACATGTGAAACAAGCTTAGGAGACAGAAATAATAAAATAACAGCTTAGCTATTTATTACATACCATGCCACCTGCATAGATAAACTGTTCTGTTTATCTTGCTACAGCAACAGTTTGAAACCATTCCTCTCTAGTGTGGGTTTCCATAGATGCAGAGTGCCAGCAGCGTAAGCAGTAGCTGTCAGAGTATGTAATGAGCCCAGGCATCCCAGCTGGAGGGAGCTGCTTGCAGTTCTGAGTTCTTGTAAGAACCTGCAGAGCTCGCTGAGTAAAACCTGAGTAATGCTGCCTGTAGTTTGTTCAGCTTTTGCAGATGGAGTGCTGTGCTTCATTTTGCCAGAATTCCTGATAACCCTCCTTATTTTACTCACTTCTGCCTCCATGTGGCTAGAGATGGAGGAATTGAGGGCCAGACGACTTCGTTTCAGCCTGTCTGTACTGCTTCACCTTTCCCATGCGCAGGGAAGTAAGGCTGTGCATTGTGTTCTGAAACTTTCCTCTGGTGTTGAAGGATCATTCAGCCATTGCTTTAATGAGAGTGGCACATCTGAAGCACCATCACATTGCAGTGTCTCCTCTTTGGTGTGTTGTGAATGGCTTGAGCTGCATGTTAATGAAGATGTGGCTTAATACTTGGATCACTGTGTTCCTCCAGCTGTGGCCAGTACAAGTCTTTTACCACTTCGGTGACCTCTCATATTTATCAGATTGGGTGCATTTTGTGGTGTGACTGTTCAGTTCAGCTCAGCTCATTTTAAGTTTGTGTGTTGTGATTTTTGTACTGTGAGATCTTTTAACCCAATCTCTTTGCAGAAATTGGATGTGGTTCCCCTCCTGAAATGAAGCATGGCTACATTGTGGGGAACTACAGCTTGCTACCAGGAAGTGCGGTTCGTTATAAATGTAAAGAAGGATTTTACAGCAACGAGGGAATGTTCTCATATTGCACAGCAAATGAAACTTGGGAACCTGACACTTTAAGCTGTAAAGGTAAAAAGAATCTTAAGTCTTTCTTAAATTCTTCATTACAGAGGTTCATGCATGTGGAGAAAAGTGAAAGACAGTGAATCTTTTCTGCAATCCAGAGGATAATTTTCCACTATCTGGCTATTTACAAAAAAAAAAAGAAAGTAAGAAAGAAAAGGAAAGGACAAGTTATAAAATTGTGCCACCTTTTTGTGTTAGTGTAATGACATTTTTGATGCTGGTCCTTCGATTTTTACAGACGCTACGATATGTCCTTGTGCCTGTGAACAAAGGCCTAGAAAACAACTAAATTTCTGTGGCATTTCATGGAAAAAAATCCCCTGAGTTGAAAGGCATCGATCACTGCTCATGAAAGAGCAGTTATTCTGACAGCTTGTGAAGCTTTTTCCTAAGGTTGACTGTAGATGCAAAAGAGAAGCATTATATCGTCTCTGATCTTTGAATAGTCTGATTGATAGGTCATTGAAAGCATTTGTGCGTGAGCAAATGCTTTCACATCTGTTAAGTGTAAAGTTTGCTGTTAGCATCTTCAAAATTTCTGCTTCCTTGGGTGTTCTGGTTGCCCATTCTGAATTATTATTCCTTACAAGTGCAGGATGTTGTGGTGTTCCTGTGAATGGTTAGAAAGTCTGTATGTTAGTTAAATGACACTTGAAGTGCTAGCTAGCAGAACCTACACTGTGTATAACAATTCTACAGCAGAGAATTCCCATCCTGAAAATTATTGCTTAGTGGGGAGAGTTCCTCCTCTCAAAATAGAAAAGCTCTCTTGGTTTCTAATTCTTTTCCCATCTCATTTTGTTTTTTTTCTTTGAGAATGGATAGATATGTTTCTGTGTGTGTAATGGGAAGAATAAATTAGAATAAGGATGTTAAATCAATGTGAGTGGGAAAGGTGAAATATTAAACATCACTAGAAAATTCTTTAGAAAGTAAATCTAAAACAATTAAACACGAACTTACAGGCAACAACTGAAATAACATTTTTCAAAAAAAAACCCGTAAAGGACAATGAATTTGAAAACAAAAAGAAAGTCTCAGGAGGTCCCTAAAGAAAGCATGTGGAATGCAGTCATTATGAATTATTGGTACATTTAATTTGCATTAATATTTTTCAACAATTCCATTTTTATGTGATTTTTTAATTGTATGTGATTTTTTAAAAATTTAAGATTGGCTCAGAGTTTCTGAGGACATTTCTCTGTTTCTTTGAAATAAAATACATCAAAACAACAAGAAACAGCCCATGAATCTGAAATGACAAACTTATTTCCCCCTTGTATTGCAAGCTCTTTTCCTTAGTTTCAGTTAGGACTTTCCTGTTTGTAAAATCAGCAGGTCTGATTTGAAAAAAAATAAATTAGTAAAGATACCTTTAAATAATTCTTTGAACTGTGAGAGTTTCCCTGGTAAGTCCTTATTGCTAATTTAAGAATTTCTTTTGGCCAGGTGTAATGTCTTCTTTTTCAGGAAAGTCTATGTTTATCTTTTGTCTTCCTTCTTATGGTAATTTAGGAGGATAGTTTTTGTAGTCGGGATGAAACTGGCCATTGAAGGTAGATCAGACTTGGTAAGATGTGTGACCTAGCATCAGGGTGTTGTAAGTGGAACAGATTCCCTATTAGTTTAAATGTGAGTATATGGATTTAAATGTGTCTTTGAAGAGTACAGCTTCCCTTGGATATTAGTAAAAAGTTGTTGTGAGATGAAAAGTCATTTTAATAGGGAGATGTGATATATGCGAAGAGGTGTAGTTAAACTGTTAAATGTGACTGTGTTGTGTCATGCCAACATGCAAGCCTTTTAGATGGTTGCTTACCTTAGAAAATGGACATCGGATCAAACAAATTGCTTTTTTGTACTATTTGATTTCTTTGTTTTATGTGTTTGTAAGTGACAACTCAGCAGGTTCATGAATAGAACAACTCTTACAATCCCTTTTTAACACCATATAGACTCTAGCGTTAGCAGGAAGCTTTTGCATTGTATGTTGTAACCTTTTTTGTGGTTTTGCTTTCTTTGGTCCTTGTGCACTTTTTAAGAAATTCACTCCCTAAAGGCAGTTTCTGCTCATCTGCCTCCCTCTGACTGTTGCTTACTGCAAGTGGTATAGAACTAGCTTTCCACTTGCAATCAATCAGGTTTATAAAAGCAGGAGAATCTTAAAGATTAAAAAAAATCTAGGATGTTTTCTGTATACCAGCAGCTAGGCCGAGGAAGGAGTCGCACACATACTATGCCATACTGAGAAAATGGCACAGAAAAGTTGTTTTATTTAGAAGCAGCTCTGGAGTAGCTACAGCAGTCTGTGTCAGTGGTGATATCACAGAGGACGTGAGGGAGTGTTGGATTACCACAGGAGAAGAGGGCTAGTTGATAAGGATGAAAGGAATACTCATGGGGTTGCAGCTGCCATGACCTCAACTGCTTGACTAACAAATTCATCTTCCTCTTTCTTCCTCTCCCTAGCTGTGGACTGTGGGGTTCCACCTTCTGTTTCAAATGCATATCCAGCATCTGTAAGTGAGACCACATATGGGAGTGAAGTTACCTACACTTGTGTTCATGGTTACTTTACTGTAAGTGGCAATCGGACTAGGGTCTGCAATGCCAAAGGACGGTGGGATGGTACTGATTTGGTGTGCAAAGGTAAATCAAATCTGCTTTAATGTTTATTTGGCATAGATACTGTTTCAGCCCTCATGATAAGTAGCAGTAATCAGTTAGAGACATCCTCTTTGGGCATTCAGTGTATTCAGTCTTCAGTCATACACCAAAGGTCATATATTAAACAGATTTGTTTTGGTTTTTTTTAATCTGTGCTGCAAATCAAGTTTCAATAAGTTGTTAAAAATGAATATTCTAAAGACAAAATCCCACTGCATGTCAGATATTGGGATTACCAGGAGGTGAAAATTCAGCCTAAATTGCTGCCGTTTTTTAGCTCTATATCTACTCTGTGCTTGAAGCCACTAGTAGAAATTGAACCACTATTAGCAGTTAGTATCCCCTTAAAATTCCCATATTCTGACCATTTCTAATTGAAAATTGTGATTGCTCGAGCATGCTGTTGTTATTTGACATGAGTCATAAATCCATTTTATTGCAACAATTTGGAAGAATGTAGCTGTGATAAGAAAAAACACAAAGTTATGCTTACAAAAAAGTATTTTGCCCAACAAAAAATCTAATGTATTTTTACTGCGAGCTCATATTATTAATTAATGTGACCTCAGGATAATTACAGTCTTTAGTCAGTTTTCACATTGGCATAACTTCACTTTTCCATTCACTGTATGATTAATTTCTTCAGCTTGATCCAGCAGGGTCGAGTCTTCTGTTCATTGCAATCAAATGTAGTAGTTTTTAATTTTTTTTAATGTGTAATTACAACCACTCTCTACTTTTACGGTCTTCTTTAATGTTCCTGTTTTCATTCATCAGTCTAAATAGAAGGTTCACTATGTTACACAGAAACATATTGCATTTCTGCCTTTCAGTCTCATTACAGGATGGCTGTAGGCAGGTAGCTGGAGTTAGGCAACAGTAGTTTTTGGATCTCATTTCATGCTGTCCTATAAGCTAAGCATATTCTTTGCGTGTGCCTTAGTTACTCTGAAGCCTGTTCTGATGATTTATAACATGTATACGTTCATACACATTGGGATATGAAGAGGAAGATAGTAATGATAGATCTATCACCCGTTGCAGTACATATGTTTAACTTTTCCTTTGAAAGTTATACAGATCATGATTCTGTAAACTTTGAATTTTACTTCTTTGTTTACCTTTTTTTGAGTAGAATTTCAGAGTTACTTAAGATTATTTACTAAACAGTTTCAAAAGCACTTGTTTTCTGCATATAAGTTTTGTTGAAGATAAGATTCTAATTCTTACATTGTTTACTTCTTGTAAGTGAAGGGATACAGAATCTTCTGTTGGAGTGTAATGGTTATTGTGGATTTGAAAGGGAATTTTAACCCTAAATAATATTCTTCTGTTCATTTCATCTTCACTCCTTATTTTTTGTTTCCTAATTTTATTACGAAGCCTCTGAAAACAACTGGGCAAATTAATTAATTTATAAGTGTCTTACCCCAGCTTTCAAATTATCTATGAAGTGGTTTGAATAATCCATGAAATTTTCCCCCAAAAGTGTTCTTTCTGCTTGTCTGTAGCAACTTCTCCTTTTTTTTTTTTCCCCCCAAAGCTTGATTTGAATCCACTGGCAAAGAAACATAACTTTCTTGATGCTTTTCTTCCATGTCACTCCTTGGGCTCTGTGCCATTTTTCCAACCTATTGTTACTAGTGATAGGTAAAATAAACAAGTAAATAGCATGTGGGTCATAAGAGAGTGTTGTGGAAAGATAGATCCATTTGTAAAATTGACTTAGAGATCATTGTTCTCCACTTTTAAACAGGACACTTATATTTTTTGGTTCACCTTGAAGGATCAATGCCTCACCCTGATAGAAAGTCTCCAGTCACAAAATTCTGGGTTCCAAAGGGCTGGCCTGCCTTCTGAAAATCACTAGGTTGTGAAGAAGAGTGGTACTTACTGGGACAGTTCATCTCTCTTCCTTAAACACTATGATATGCTTTACCTGTTTTGATTTTCAGGTGTAGTTACCCAGTTTTTTTCTGTTCCAGAAATAAACTGTGGCAAACCTTTGCTGATTCCACACACTGAAATGATCTGGGACGACTCTACCACTCTATCAAGCAGAGTGTACTATCGGTGTAAAGAAGGATATTATTCTGTTGGAGACAGGAATTTTTCAGAATGCATGATAGATCAGTCGTGGGAGAATATTACATACATATGCAAAGGTAAATATTACTGTAGGAAGTTGTTGTGGAGTCTTCTATTTAAATACTTCCTCATTCATTTTTCTGAGGGTAGGAATGGGAGAAAGGATGAAGGCGAGAAATCCCTTTCTCATTTCTGATATAGGGAACATTCTGGTACTTGATATAAAGGTTATGGAAGAGAGTGTTAACTGTGCAACAGTTTCTAGTGGATGCCACAGATTCTTCTGTAGCTATGTTGCTTTTTATTTTAAACAGAAAGGGACCAACACAACTGGAGTTTCATTGCTGCACTGAGGGCTTTCATCTTTAAAGGCCAGGCAATTGTCACCAGATGAACAAAAAGCATTTATCAACATTTTGTAGTGAGCCTAATCATAGAACCATTAAGGCTGGAAAAGACCTCTGAAATCAAGTCCAACTGTCAACCTAACACTACCATGACCACTAAACCATATCTCAAAGTGCCACATTTATACATTTTTTGAACACCTCCAGGAATGGTGACTCCGCCACTTCCCTGGGCAGCCTGTTCCAATGCCTTACCACTCTTCCAGTAATGAATTTTTTCCTAGTATCTAATCTAAACCTTCCCTGGTGCAACTTGAGCCAATTTCCTCTTGTCCTGTTACTAGTAACCTGGGAGAAGAGATCAACACCCACTTCACTGCAGCCTCCTTTTAGGTAGTTAGAGAGAGCAATGAGGTCTCCTCTCAGCCTGCTCTTAACTGTCTCAGCTCCCTCAGCTGCTCTTCATAATTCATGTTCTCTAGACCTCTCACCAGCTTCGTTGCCCTTCTCTGGACCTACTCCAGAGAAGCTGCAGCAAAATAGGAGCAATGGAATTCAAAACCCTTTTTTCTTTTTTACCCCTTCTCTCTTATATCCCAAACTGTTCATGGTTGTCTTTCCAGCCTAGATGTACTTATCTAACTTCCAGTAAAGAAGTATTTTCTTACAAAAGAAGGTATATCCTGTAACAAAGGTGTCATACATCTTGGAATACACTTGGAAACAGGATGTTTCCAAGTGTGCTGATACTTCCAGTGTACTGACATTTTGATAATAGCAAAATAATAGCAGGTGTTTTGGACTATGGCCGTTGTGCTCCTTAGTGTTGTTCTGTGTCCTTAGAAACAGGTGTCTCAAGATAGCTCTGTGACTGTCCATCTCTTGTTCTTAAGTGGCAGTATTGTCTTTTGCGGATGGTAATGTTCCTATAGCTTTGTAACATTCACATGTTTTTCAAAAGTACTGGAAGTGTGTCTTTGACTGCTGCCACTTCACAGACCAAGCCTTTACGGAGGGTTGCCACTTCCTGCCTCTTTTGTTTCACTCAGTGTCTTGAGCATTCACTGCAAATATGAAACATGTGACATCACATAAAGTGAGCATGCAGAAAAACAGTTCACGTTTTATAGTCCCCTAATGAAATGGAATTGCTGTTGTGAGAAGTCGTAATTCATATTTCATTTAGGCAATTTACATAGCTTTACTTTCTGAATTGATTTTGAAGCCAGCCTTGTGTAACCTGGCTAAGTTAATCAGGTGTGTCACTCATTGCAATGGCAATAGTTCTGTCTTGGGCACTCTGGAGCTTTGAAGGGCCTGAGCCTAATGACTGTGCTCACAGGATTGCCATGAATTTCAGCAAGAGCTTTGCAAGAGGCAAAAAGACTCCAGCTCTAGCTGTTGGATCAGATGTCCAAAAAGTCAGAGTTATGGTCGAGTAGGATGGAAAAAAAACCCTTTAAAAAATAGGGTCACTAGTCCAGGCTCCTTCGGGGGGGAAAAGAAATGAATAGGAAATAAGTAAAAGGTCTTCAGCTTCTTAACTTCCACATTTTTCACACTTTACTAGGGGTAACAAATGACTTCCGAATGAAATGAAATTTCTGTTTCAGTAATGATACCTTTCAGATGTATATGTTCTTAAGGGTGTGTGTAATTAATAAGTAGTTCCCATTAAAATCAGAGAAAATTATGTACTATTCCAAAATAACTTATGATAGAAGTCAAAAAAACATTTATCTTTTCCTACTCCCTGAAAAGTCTCAGCAGAAGTGAGGAAGTTAAGAATTTCCCCTGAACATGTTCCATTTGACAAATAATCCCTTCTTCATTTCTTTACTTGTGGTGTTTGCTGCATTGTCTGTTGGGGTATGTAGTAAATGTATGTGTGTGTGTGTGTGTATATGTATAAAAATACATTTAATAGTAGATGTTTTAAATATTAAAAGAAAGTTAATTTTACAGTGAGATGCTTGTTGAATTAAGCAATCAGCACTGAAATATGGCAATAGTTAGCTGAATTACTGAAGAGGGTCCCTTTTCTGAGAGCTGCTGGGTAACGACAATCACACCGATGCGGTTACATGCCATTCCAACTTTATTGCTCCAATTGCGTTTATGTGCCAAGCACAAGCTACAATAAGCTTTATCTTTGATTATCATCATCAATCCCTGTGGGTGTTAGATGCCCTTGCTGCAGCTAGAACATCCTGTTGTGCATTTTGCAAAGTTCTTGCAGAAACAACTTTGTTACCTCTTTTTAAGCTTCAAGGTGACTCTATGAACAGAGCATTGTTTAAGCCCAAGCTGGGTTGTCCAAACTTTCTAGGGGTATACTGTGTCCTTGTTCTGCAAGGAATTCCCCTACAAATTACAGTCTTCCTTTTCCAACCCTGGATTTGTTTACATAAAATAAAGAGACTAAAGTACAGAGAACATACCAGCAGTTAAATACCTGCTGTCCCGTATGCTCAGTATGGGATTCTGGAGATGCTGTACAGCTTGTCCTGGAAGAACTCGTTCCCCATGGAAAGTAGGACTGCATGGTTTCATTGATTTTCATTGCAGAAATGATGTGCTGTTGTTCCGAGTACACGTTGTGTTGAGCTGTGGTGGGATTTCATGATAAATCTCGGAAGTTTTTTTCAGAGGGAAAACAAGATTCCACTGTGGGAAGAATATTTCAGTTTATTTCAGGGAAGAGCTTTGACTGTAAAGCACTGTATCATGCAGTGGCAGAATACATGATAGTCTGAAACAAGCTTAATTTTTTTCATTGTGAGTTTCAGAGGAGAAATTGTCAACCAGAGCTTTTCTGGTATTAGTAGTTCTCTTACTGAGGGCGGTTGTTCTGGGTGTGCGCTCTAAGTGGGACGTAAGGTAACGTAACACTTAGAGAGTTACATTTTTTATTCAAGTGAAAAGTATACAGTGAAGCCTTTCCGCTCACGTTTTCCTATTTGAGTGGATTCCACAGATGAAGTTTCTATGTATGTATACATGTATTTATTTATTATGGCTGTAAAAAGGCCAGAACAAAGGTGATTTGTGATTTGGCTATCTGTCTGAAATGCTTGTTACTAAATCCTCACTTGAAAATGCAGTGTGCAATGTATATCATAAGCCAACATCAAGTCCATGAACAGTGTCATTTTGAGAGGGGCAGTGAGAGGAATTGGAGGGTGTCTGAAATGAAAATATGTAAAGGAGTTGGTTTTGTCTTTCATTGAGCTAGGATATTTAATAGTAAAAGGGCAGGAAGGGCTAACAGATGCTTAAGTAAAATCTTTGTCCCTTGTTATACGTGTAGGTTGTGTATGTGTATGTGTATGTAGGCATGTATGTGTAGGTACGCACATACACATGCACACAGAGCTTAACTGCTGAGAATTTATATTTTGGGCTTCGAGGGAAGGCTAAGCTGAATTATGGTGAATGGGGTACTTACAGGATTGCCTTGCTTTTACGCCATATGCAGCTCTAAAGACATCTTTGGTATTTTTTCCAGTCTTCTGAGTTCATGCACAAAACAGCAGTGTCTGCTGCAGTTTTCTATGTTAATTGCACAATCGTTAGGGGTATTTTGGAGGGAAATGGCCTGCAGCTCTCTTCATCCTGTTTGTAGAGTCCTCCCGTCTGCTATTCACCAAGCTTTTTCCAGTTTCAGAGTCCCAAGACCTAGAAGTATCCTAGTTGTGGAGAGCTTTTTCTCTGTATCTGATCTATCCTGTTGGTAACAATTCACTCTAGTCCTAATTTATACGCATGTAGACTGGGTTGTCTGCTGCTCATTATTCTGATCCTAGAAAACCCCTGCCTATATCTGTTTCCTTTGGAGACTGTTAGTATTTGGTGCGTGTTGATGCGGAAGTCACGGACACTGCTGACGATCAATGTGATCAAGCAAATGCCACTTTATTAACGCACTAACGCGGTTAATATACAGTTCACAACGTCCTTGTTTTCTAAATGCTCTATACTGATTGGCTATTAACAACAAACACACGCAGTCCATGCTCCTGTTCATGCGCTGTTTTCCTTTGCTGTTTTGCTCTTCTTCTCCCCAGCTGCAGCCTGGGTTTGTTTCTGTTTTCAGTCACATACACCAGCCACAGCTCCTCGTTTTTCTTTGCTTCAGCATATTCTCACAGCTAGTGACCTTCACAATGTCCTTCACAAACTCTTGTCAAGCGAGGCCTAAAACTTGTCTAAAAACAGGCTGCCTGGCTTGTTCGAAACATGTCTGCTGTTCTCTAAATATCCCACAGGTGTGTCTAGCATCTACTGGTGTACTCACACTAATTCGATGTCTTAAGAAAGACAGCTTGTCCACTTTCCTTATTTTTATTCAAGGAAAGGAAAATACATATCTACATTAAAGAACAACTTCTCAGTATTTAAATAAGTCTCCAGTAACACTATTCACAATATCATTATAAATACATTTATTAAAGTGTTTTTTGATGTATTAACTGAAATGTAGTAGTTGGAAAAGAAGCAATTGCTGCATATGGGTGGGAACAATCTATGGTTATGTGAGAAGGCTGGAGGAGGGGCTGAATCTGACCTGCACACAAAGGCAATGCACATTATTGGTAAAGCATTCATAACTCAGGCAGCGGGAAATAGCTGCCGTAGTTAGAAGGCAGAAATGAGCTCTGTGCCCCTTTCAGGCTGACGGCACAGCAATCTTACTGGTCAGTTGTGAGAACCTTACAAAGTAGTTAGAC